TGGTTGCAGCAAGCGAAGAGGGGGTTCTACTGACTGACCTGAAAAATCCTTAGAACTTCTTCGATTACCAAACTTTTCGAAGTGCTGGGTGGACTAGCCTGGTACAATTGGAAGTAGCAGTCGATGCGCTCGGGGGAGCAGTTCGAGTTTCTCCGTCGAAGATGAAAATCAGAAGCAGAACAAGAAACTCGAGTCTCATCCTGAAACTTGAAATTACCTTGAATAGGGGTGAGAAGGAAATTTGCAATATCTCTGGATGAGATGCACATGATTGATACGATCACGACATATGTATCGACCTCTCCGTAGCGCTTTGCAGCATTTTTGCTGTTAATGAAATTTTGTAAGTCGAATTACCAAAAGGGAATGAGAGGTGCAGGACAAAGGAGTTCTTGCATAGAGCTTTCTACGATAGCAACGTTAGGTAGTTATCAAAATCTGATTGCGCTCAGAACTTAATACGTTTTAATGCAGGTAGGTCATTCGTAAAGTTCCAAGATCATAAGGGTTCCATAGCCGGCTTGGCCAGTACACAACCAAAAGCGTCCGTGTCATGACGGCTCTGTTAAGGCTTCACAATGAAGCGGTGGAGTGCCGACAAACAGTTCGCTTGTGTGGAACTACCTAGACGGTTACAGGCACATGATCTCGTACAACCCCCCTTCTTGCTATTTTTTTTCTAGCCTTACATTCCCCAAAATCCGCAGGTTTTCGTACTGACCCTTCAAGAGCACGTCGTATTGTAACTTTGAGTAAGGACGAATGAGTAAGGAATTCGCCCATTGATGACAGTTTGATCAGGAGAGCTCTGCCTTTCATTAGAGTGGTGTTTAGGGATGCGCTTTCGCATCTCGCATAAACTCCTGTTACACCCGATGCGTTCGAATGTGGCCACCTCACGTTGCGGTATCAAGTAACTAAATATATGCAGTAGTTCTTCGACTTTGAAGAGCTGCTCGACTAGCAAAACGCTACTACGGGCTCCTTTCCAGTCCAGAGGGCTTTAAAGGCGTATAATTTTGTGAAACTCAAGAAGGAAATTCTCAAAATGACAGCGCTTTGGATAGGCATTGAACGAAAGTAAATCGCTTGACCACGTAATCTTTGAGCGGTGGTGTAAAACAGTGTGAAGAAAAGTTGAATGAAGAATTCCTGGTTTATAGGAGGGACTGAAATGAGAACATACAGCATCTCCTCTCACTCCACTTTTATATGGGTTGTACAGAAGCGATCGGTGCGTAATATTTGGTCTGTAATCACTGAGAAAACATGGACCCCTCTGACTTTTACAAAAAACCCAAGCCCTTGCAAACCATGTCAGATTCCTTCCGCATGCATTCCTCTTTCTATGCTGCGTCCTGCTCCTCTCACCTTCTGAATTTACAAGTAGACTAGTTTTCTCTTGGCCTGGCCTTTGAATAGGATGAAATAGTATGGTTCTTCGGGTTCCTATGTACAGGCTACATTGTTGGTTAAGAGAGCCATCAGCATGCAATACTCTAATACTGATTATTCTCTTTTGGGAATGTTCTATGTATCCCGCTCGTCCCAAATACTTTGCATGGGAGTTGCGGAAAAATCTTCCATCTTTCGGAATTTCAGTCCAATTCTTTCACGATTCCTCTATGCTTCGACTATGGAGAGTACCTCATTATTTTAGAAGAAAGGGCATGCATCTGTATGTCCCTGCCTCTATGCAAATATGCTGCCTGTTCAGATTAGAGTTTTTTTTTTGAGAGTTCTACGTTCGTTATGACATATTTAGCTATTTACACAACGTTTTTTGAAAAAGTGTTTCATTTGAGTCACGTTTCGCAATGAGGGCTGTGGCAGTCACCACCCAATCCAAAACTGAACCTCAAACTACCTTTGCTTCTGACCTTCACCTTGAAACAGACCTTTGTATCACCTGTCATCTCGTTGGTCATTGACCTCCTCGACTGGACGCCTGTAACGTCCCCATTCACCCCTGTCGCGAGCCAGAGTGGCCCAGTGGATCCTCGATGGACGCGAGGCATGGCCCTCCCTTCATTCATGTCTTTCCTGAAAACGTCTTACCATTTCGATGGAGGCCGTTCTGGTGTATACTTGACCTTTCGAGGGATCCTCTCAGTCTCTCTTCCAAAGGTCATTACTAAATCGCCAATTGATCTCCCTGTGATTACTAAACTATTCACAGTGATTGCTGAAGGGAACAAGTAGCTCCTTCTTCCCGGATTCCCTTATTAGCCTTCTTCAGCTTTATCACATCTGTCATTCGTTATCTGTGATCCAAACAAAGCGAAGATCAGTCAATAATGATCCAGGATTGCCCTGTAAACTAGAAACGTGTTTGGGATGCAGTAACTTCGCTCTCTATAGCTTCTCCCCAGCCGTTATCTTTTCTACCTGTTCCTTTCGGGGACCATCTTCAACTCCACCATGCCCGACACCGCATCCCTTGATGCCTCCTTATCAGTCCCTTTCGTTACCATTACTTTTCTATCACCTGTTTCCAATGTTTCATTTATATCGTCTGTATTCCTTCCAAAGTTGCTCCAAGAATGCTCTAGATTCATGCATTTGGTGTTATGAATTTCCAGTCAAATACACTCACACACAAACAAACAAATGCACCTATGGACCGACAGATACACTCAGAAGTTAGAGTTGCTTGAGATGTATGAGAAAAATTCAACATCCATATAATCAGACTGCTCAGTCATAGAGAAATCGATGTGCTAGACGACCAAAGGAGGGAAGAATTGAACCTTTATCGGGATGTTATTTTGTGATCATGAGTATCAGACCGATATTCCATAATTGTAGGACACATATTGCATTTTAATACCATTGCTCTTTTACGTTTAGCTCCTTTTTTTAGTAATTTAGCTCAAATTTCTAGCTTTTGCAAAATTCATTCCTTTCAAGGTTTGTTTTGTTTTTTGGCTTTGGCTTCAATTTAAAATTTTCGTTGAAATTTCAAATTTTTTGTTGGCTTTAGAAAACAGAATTCTGGATCAGCCGAGCAATCATCGGGCTCTCCTTCTGGGTAAAGGATAAGAAGAGGAAAAAATAAACGAGAAGCAAGGATCAGTAGTTTTGCAAAGCTCCGAATTTTGCAAAACTCATTCCACATGATATGTTATTAGCAAAGTTGTAATCGTCCGATCAGTGCAGCAAGTCGATATCAGTTGGTATCGATTGATTAACGTGGATAAGTCACCATTACTATCCTCCTAGCTCAGTTCTTAATACAGGGTGGCTGAAAAGTATAGGACGCGCCGTTCGACGCTTGCTGGCACCCTGCCATTGAGTATTTTCAGAATCTTGTGGGACTTTTAGAAAGCTTGGGATCTGTACAAGAATCCATATAAGTCATTTGATTGATCGTTCGCCCCAACAGTCGCTACGAAAGTTTCTGCGCATCGACCCACTATCGAGAAGCTGCTCAGAGAGGGTTTCAGGAGCTGCGACATTGCGAAACGACTCGGTGTTCCCTCACCAACCGGAATGTTGCTGCTGCTCTCAGGAATTGAGGACGAGCTCTGCGATGCCAAAAAGGGGACAACCGAGAACAGTGAACACACCGAGGATTCGTGACACCGCCAGGAAGAGGACCACCCGCAACCATGGAGTCAACATGAACTGGACTGCTTCTCACCTCAACATCAGCCGTCAAACCATCCAGAAAATTGCGAAACGCGACCTCAAGCTAAACAAGTATCGGCTCCGTCGATGGCAGTTTCTTTCAGAGCAGTCCAAGCAAAGTCGACTGATAAAATGCAAAAAACTTTTTTGAGAGCTCAGTGCGCAC